TAATTCTATTAATTTTTCTTTGCAGGTTTAAACAATGATTTTGAGCGTAAATTGCATAACTTGAGCTTGAAAACTCAGAATGACCTGAATTTAGAAGTCTTGAAAAGCTAAGAAGCAGAGCTACAACTTTCATGTTTTGGGTATTTCCTAATTCTGATTAGACAAAGGTGAAAACTTGGCTTGAAGTCGTGAACAGAAGAAAAATGTATTTGGACGTGCTTCAGTATTTTCACAATAACTTGAGCTGTAGACATTTGATTAGGCTGATTCTTGAACGAGTATAAATATAATTGAAAGGGATACAATTCATATGTTTACGAATTTTCTAGATTCAGATTCTATCAGGCTCAAATTTGGCCCGAAATATCCTCGCTGCGGCAAGGAAAAATATTTGCCACGGCGAAACTATGTCAGATGTGAAAAATAAAACGACGCGTTTTTGGCTTGCTAGGGCTTGATCCTTAAGTGAGAGAGGTATGAATTAGCATGAAAATGAAGGGAAAAGGGTCTTGGTTCGTCATTTGGGAGACAGCTCTTGGAAGGAGAAAATTATTGAAGATTTGGGCTTCAAATAAGAGAAGATTTCTCCATCTTTTGCCTATTTTTTCAATGATGAACCTTGATTCAACTTGTTTTTTTTATCTTATTTTGTTTTTAAGTATGAACTGAGTTGTTTAGCTAGGGTTTGATGTAACCTTGATACAATGATTCAAATTTATATGAATTGATTTACTTTGAGTTTTAATTTCATGATTGAGTGTTTATCTCTTTGCTTAATGACTTTTGGATGCTTAATCACCATTTAAATGTATGTTGTTCACAATGAGATTGAGAAGTGATTTGTGATTTGTGTCTTTTGAGATAAATACCATAGATTAATCGAAAACTAGAGATAGATAAATGCGATCTATGAAATCTAGATAGAATTCCTCAAAGCTTAAGAGACCTTGAACTACTAAACTTCAATTTTGGGGTTCGGAAGGTTAATAGGAATGGGTAGGGTGGTATAACCTCAGAAGGAGTATCAAACAACTTAGGGAATTTGATTTTCAATCAAGGAATTAGAACTTGAGTAATAGATTCTATGATTTGGGTTAGCGTATCTAGGTAAAATCAACACTCTAGAATTTTTAGCATTGTTTAATTAGTTAAGTTGTTGGGTTTTGTTTTAATTTCATTATCATTCGTTTATACTTTGTTAATTTGTATTAAGTTTGTTAATTTTCCATCAATCCAATTTATTGTTACTCAATTAGGACTTAAACTAGAGAAATCGGTACTTAGTAACACTATCCTCGTGAGAATGATATTCTACTTATCACTTTATTACTTTTTTTTTGCGACTAGTGCACTTGCTACATATGCATATTTGTGAAATCATGCATCATTTGGTTTTGATTTTGGATAAATTGCTCATTGATTTATGAATTTTTCCCAGCCATGAATCGGAAAATTAATTAACAGATTAGGTTAGGGATGGGAATAGGGTCCCAAATTGTGATTGCAGCAAGTCTGGTCACCAATACCTAAACTCGGATGGGGACTAGGGTCACATTTAATTTTATTCAATTATTATTTGTAACCTAACTCTGTTGTCTATATTTAATTTGCATTATCTTCTCTTTAAAGTTTCAAGACGGTTTGACTTATGATCTCTATAATTTACACTACATACATGGGAGAGTTGTAACTGCAAAATGAAGGAAATTAATTTAAAAGTTTTAATCTTGGGTTTATAAAATTAAATATTGATGTTTTAATGTATCATTTTACTTGAGAAACATAAGGTTAGTTATGGAGAGGTGAATTCATTTCCTATTTATTAATTCATGCCAATCTTAAACGATTTATTAGTAATAGTTTAATGATTGGATCATGATTCAGTATATTATGAAGAGCACAACATGACCGTAACCATATAATTAAATCCTAATTTGAATTGAAAATAAAACTTGTTACAATTTCTACTTCTAATTTTGATTTACTCACTATTTGTAATCAAACATTCATGTGTATAATATGTATAAAATAATACTACTACACATTCAAAGTAGTTTACCTAGTATAAAAATATTATATAAATTAATATAAACATTAACTTAATAAATGTAATAAATGTATGATAAATGAAGTTGAACAACAAATAATACTCATGATATATAATGTTGAACTATGCCAGACCATGCAAGATTCTATAATCTAGCATTTAATTGTATAGTTTAATAGTCAAATAAAAGCATACTAGACCATGCTAGATAGTGTTAGACTTGGTAGTCTAACAAATTCGGACTATTTTTGTCTTTGTTATTCCAGCAAGGGCAATAGCTTATGTCATTAATGGAAATTAGCACTATAGCTACAAACTGGCCACCCGGCCCCACAAAAAAATTAAAATTTTATAGAATTTTAATGAGTCCCTATAAGTTCAATTTTTTACACTTTGACCACCCTAAGTTTTGAAATTAGAACTTTAGACCCTATAAATTAGGGATGGGCGAGTCCGAGTACAGGCCCAATTCCATGGAACCAGAACCGATCGGCTCCTCAAATTCAGAATTTGAACCAAAACCGATCAATTCTGGTTCCTAAATGCTTAGACCTAAAACCTAAAACACAAGTTCTGGTTTCAGTTCCGGGTACCGCATTACTATTCACAAAAATGACAAAAATGTTATGTTATCCCTTATATATAGACTTGAAAAACAAAAACCCTAATTCTTTTTCTCCTTCTCTTTCTTCTTCCTCTCTTTCCTTTCCTTTCTCAACCGCGCCAAGCTACTTTCTCTCTTCCCTTCACTTTTCTTTTCTTCCTTTTGTTTCTCTTTTCCTTTTCCTTTCCTTCTCCTCTTATCAATACTCTCTCTAGCAATGGCTACTGTTGGCCAGATCTAGCTAGCACCTGAGGCTCTTGCATTGGCCAAAGGCGCAGTGCAAAGGCCACATGTTGGTTTGATTTGTCTAACCAAGAAGCTTCATTTTTCGGCCAAACTAAGTCAAAGTCAAGTTGGTCGAGAGAAGACTTGATAGTTTGATTGCCTTTTTGATATGATTTTTCCTGATTGATGATTTTTGTGTGTTGCAGTGATGGCGTTGAGAAAGAATTGAAGTTTGTTGGTATGTTGAGGTGATTGTGTTGAGGATGCTAGGACACTCTCAGTCTCATAACAACCCCCATTGCTTTCTAAAATATCATTTAACTTTTGATTTCTAAAGTAGTTCCAAACCGGGTACTCGGATCTTGGTTCCAATTTTGATTCCCGAGTTGGTTCTAGTTCCTTAAACTAGTGGAACTGGTATCTAAACACAATACCAATTCCACATAATAAGGAACCAAGACCAAAACTCCAAGTACTTATTGGTTCTTGTTTTACACTAAATTCCTGCACACCCTTGCTATTAATGTAGCTTCCGACTGAATGTCGCCCATTATTCATTAAAAATTATATTTGACCCCCAAAAAACATTTTTCGGCTTCGACCCTACCTACATCTGTCCTTTAAACAAAGTCTTGATATTTTAGGAATTAAGATAAGTGAGGATTAATGTTTTTAAACCTGACCCAGCCTTAACTTGGTCAAGGGGCTGGTCCTTGGGTCGAACGTTCTAACCGGTTGGACCAGCCGATCGGACCGGTGACATCAACATATCCAACAGGTTTGAAATCTAACAAACACACCCCTAAAAACACACACCTGTGCTTTGGAAATGAAAACCATAGCCGTTATGTAAATTCACAAGTACAAGACTCTTATTTGGCACGTGTGATTCAAGCGATGATTTAATCTCTCTTTCTCTCTATATATATTTCCTCTATATTTTAGTTTTCCAAAGCAAATCATTGATCATCGTCGTTATCATTTTTGTTGGTGTTGCGACCATACGACCTTCATTCGCTTCTGCTCTTGATTGTAATATCCCCAATTTAGGTTTGTTTGATTGTCGCTGATGGCTGGAAATCGGCCTAAAGACAGGTAGCCGTGCAAACTAGCAAGCAAACGGCGATCAACGATCAGAGGGTGCACTTGGCAGAATATGGTAGGCATTTTGTCAACCTCAATTCTGAAAATACACTTTGCAGCAAAAATTTCAGTGGCTGTGTGGACTAAGGCTCTATACTCAGCTACAGTAGAACTGAGAGCAACAACTTTTTGCTTGCGAGAGCTCCACTATATCAGGTTAGGTCTTAGGTAAATGTAGTAGCCATTTGTTGACTTTCTGTCATCCAAATTACTTCCCCAATCCACATCTGCATAACATTCAACACTTAAGGACACTGTTGGTTTAAATTGCAGACCATGATATTATGTTCCCTTGATAAATCTGAGCACTCTCTTGCAGGCTTGCCATTGGAGCTCTGTTGGTGCTTGAAGGAACTGATTGAGTTTATTAACACAAAAGCTTATATTAGGTCTGGTTAATGTTAACTATTATAATGCTCCCATTGTACTTCTATAGAGACTAGGATCCTCAAACAAAAGACTATCGGTGGAGAAAAGTTTGGTGCCAACAATCATTAGAGTTGGACAGGCATGTGCTTCAAGCATTCTTGTTTTGGTAAGAAAATCAACAACATATTTTGTTTGCGGGAGGTGAATTCCCTAAGATGTTCTGATGGCTTCTAACCCTAGAAAATATTTGATTGATCCAAGTGCTTTCAGGGAGAAATTAAAGTTCAAATCTTGAACAAGTTGAAGAATGAATGAATGATTGGATCCAGTGATAAGAATATCATCTACATAGATGAGAATATAGGTCACTTGATCCCCATTTTTAAGTATGAAGAGGTTGGAATCAAATATGGAATTCTGAAATCCTTTGGTCAAGAGTGCCTCTTTCAACTTGTCAAACCAAGCTCTATGAGCTTGTTTAAGACCATAAAGGGTCTTATTAAGCTTGCATACATGAGATGGAAACTAAGGACACTCAAAACCTTCCGGTTGCTTCATAAACACAGTCTCATTTAGAGTGCCATTAAGGAAAGCATTATTTACATCAATTTGTTATATGTCCCAATTATGGGTGACTGCTAAAGTAAGTACAATTCTAATGGTTGAAGGTTTGATAACTGGGCTGAAAGTTTCAAAGAAATCCAAGTCAGGTGTTTGTTGAAAACCTTTTGCAACTAGCCTAGCCTTGTACTTTTGCAAGGTCCTATCAGCATGAAATTTAACTCTAAAAACCCACGTGTTTCCAACAATGTTCATATCAAAACTCTTAGGCACTAATGTCCAAGTATTGTTCTTGACAAGAGCGTCATACTCACTTTGCATAGCTTCTTGCCAAGCTTCACTAGCTAAAGCCTCTTGAACTGTAGAAGGTTTAGGTTGAGCCTCAGTATTTCTAGAAGTGATAAGGGTGCTTCTCATGTTACCAGTTGCCTTTGCTCTAGTGATCATAGGATTTGATTCTCAACACCTTCAGAACCAATGGATAGAGCAGAAAATTGTGAAGGATCTAAATCAACTACAAGTAAGCACGTGGGAAGTTTGTGAGTGATATGTGGGGATGATGTGTTTGGAAAGTGAGAAAGGTCTATGTCAACAATAAGAGAATGATTACTTAAAGATGTGGATGGGATAGATAAGTTTAACAAAGGTGAGGAAACTATATTTGGAACATATTCAGAATTGAAATTGTTACAAGCAGGGGCAAGAGTGGGATTTGGAGAACAAGAGGATAAGATTGGAGTTACCCTGCCAATTTTTGGAGTAGGACTAGGTTGAGAACAGTTTTCTGTGAGAGTAGTTGTGGCAGGAGCTATATCATTTGAAGGTAAGTTGTGTTATGTATAATCAAAAGGAAATTAAGAAACAAGGTTATTTTGAGCAGATGAAGGCTGAGGTGATAGATTGGATTTAGACTGTGAATGATGACTAGAGAAGTTACAATTTTCAGCAAATGGAAACTCTTCTTCATGAAACCTGACATTAGGAGTGATAAACAGCTTTCCAGTAGGACTTAAGCACTTAAAACCCTTATGCACAAGACTATAACCTATGAAAACACATTTCAAAGTATGGAAACTAAATTTATGTTGATTAAAGTCTCTAATGTGAGGAAAACATGCACATCCAAAAACTTTGAGAGAAGAATAAAGTGGTGATCTATGAAACAATGTTTGATAAGGTGACACAAACTGTAGAATAGATGAAGGCATTCTGTTGATTAAAAATACTGCAGTTTCAAAGGCACACCACCAAAAATGCAATGGCATGAATGCATGGGCAAGTAGTGTTTAACCTGTTTCAACAACATGCCTGTGTTTTCTTTCACTTCTTCCATTTTGAGAATGAACATATGCGCATGAATGCCTAAACATAATGCCATTTTGTTCAAGATATGGAATTAGAGTTTTATACTCACCACCTTGATCGGATTGTAAGCATTTTAGTTTGTAACCAAATTGTCTTTCTACCAAATGATGAAATTTAATAAAAACTGAATAAGTTTTAGCTTTAGTTCTTAGAGGAAAAAGCCAAGTGAACCTACTGAGATCATCTGCAAACTAGACATAGTATCTATATCCTTCAAATGAGACTATAGGAGCAGGTCCCCAAAGATCACTATGTACTAAAGCCAAAGGTCCAGTAGCTCTAGATGAAGAGGAGGAAAAACTATTTTTGTGCAACTTTCCAAGTTGACAAGCATCACAAAATGACATGGAGTGAGGAATTTTTGGCTTTACTAAAGGATCACTATTAATTTGACTTATAATCTGACTGAATGAGGATGGCCAAGTCTTTTGTGCCAAGGTAAATTCTTTTCTAAATTCTTATTAGTTTGAATGTTCAATGCTAATGCTGATTCAGGACTTAAACCAAAATCATGTGTAAATGCAAGATTTAAATCAGAACTAGATGTGAAATACGTATCAGCCTTCAGGTTAGATTCACAAAATGCAATATTCATATAAGATAATTCAATAGAGGAATCAACATAGGGATGGTCAGTACTTTTATTCTGAGTAGAGGAATTATTACACATACTCAAATGAGACTTACAATTGACATTAAGATTCTCATAATTATTAGAGTCTTCTAATAGAGACTTATTACACAAAAATGAACTTGAACAGATTTTACTAGGCTGAGATTGTAAGGCAGACACAAAAGGTTTAACACAAACTGAGACGGACTGATCATTGCATTTTGCAGGATAGGTAGAGGTAAGATTCAACTGATATAGTCTTGCTTTAAGCTCTCCCTGCAGAAGGACTGTTTTGGTAGCCTTGTCCTTAACAACATAACAATCAGAATGAAACTCAACCACAACATTATTATCTTTAGTAAACTTTGAAATACTAAGTAGGTTTTTTGTGATGTTAGGGACACACAAAACATTTTTCAAATGGAGGCATTTAGATTGCGAGGAACTAGGTAATGATGTAAAGCCAATATGAGAAATGTTTAAGAACTCACCATTGCCAACTTGTAATTGCTCAGCTCCCTCATAATTCCTACTGCTATGCATTTGATTCATATCAGATGTGACATGATCAGTAGCCCCGGGTCCATATACCAGGCTGGATCCTATGCAGTAGTCTGGTTTGCGATCAATGGAACACCATTTGACAAGTAAGAAGCTGCAAAATAAGCTTGACTAGGTGAAAAAGACTGCTGACTAGGAACTTGAACATTGAATTTTCACCATTGGAAACTGATGAAGTAAGTTATTGACCTTTGGAGAATTCTTGAGTAGAGTGTAATCCATGAGAGGAATGAACATGATTAGGTACAAATTGAGACTGATTCCCAGTATAAGAGTTACCAGCAGTAAAATTGTGCAGCTGTTGATTTCCAAAGTCACTAGATCCAAACCTATTACCATGTCCAAAACAATTGTGTGCAGGAAGAAAGTTTCCAGAATTTCCAGAATTAAAAGAGCTAGGAAACTCAAATTGTGGTGGAGATCCAAACTGTGGAGGAGCTCCATTATAAGTGGAGTTGTATCAATGGTAACATTGGACTGTTGTATGTCCTATCTTGCTACAGACTTGACATATAAGTCTTCCTTCAGCATTGCCTCTCCCACGACCTCTGTTATTATTATTGAAACCTGATGGTCTGTAGGTATTAACCTGTGGTTGAAACTATCTTGAATAAGAGGATGGATGAAAGTGACCAGGTGAACTAGCAAATCCAGATAGTGGTATATAATGAGAATAGGTTTGATACGGCTGTGAAGTAGGTATTGTAGTCACCGTAGAGGCAGACATAGAAGTATTAGTTCCATTTGATAAGCTAGATATGCCTGACGAATTACCAGAATTACTGATTGCAGCAAGATGTACTAAACTGTTTGAAAAATCCATAGTGTTGAATTTTTCAATACGCATTTCATACTTTTGTAGCAAATATTGTGCTTCTTGCAACGTAACAAAGTCAAATTTAGATTTAATTCTAGATGTTAAATTGACGACAACAGCATCAAATTATGGTCCTAATCCATCCAGAATATGTTGAAGTAAATCTTCATCCAACACAACTTGACCACTGGAGTTCAAACTTTCTGCCCTGTCATCTTTTTAAAGTAATCACCAACTGTTAAATTTCCTTTTTGAGTATTTTGTAATAAACTTTTCAAATGTAGAGGTCTTGCCTTTGAATCACTCAAAAATTCATGTTCAAGTGTAAGCCAAATGTTAGTATAAGTTTGACATTTTGACACAGAGCTAAACATGCATTCTAAAATAGACGCTAATAACCAAATAACAAGGAACTTATCAGTGCATTTCCAAGCTAAATAAACTGGATTAATATGCTGTCCAGTACTAGATTTTATCTCATATTTTGACCTAGATTCAGTTGATTCAACTAAGATTTCAGGCTCAGACACAATTAAAGGTTTTGGATAGGAGATAAAACTTGTTAAGTGGCCATCAAGCTCATGTGCTCCTACTACAGAAAGCATTTGAGACTTCCAGAATCGATAATTGTCTTGGTAATTATCTCGTGTGAGCTAGACTCGGCAAAACGTGTCCACACCCACAGGTCGACCCATGCCCGAGTAAAAAATATAGGATAAAGGTCTAATATATTAGACCCTTTTTTTTAAACATGTACCCAGCATGATCCATATTATTAACAGGTTATATGGGTAAACCTGTGGGTACCAGTTTTTTGCAAATCCTTAACTCTAAAACAAATTAACAATTCTCTCTCGACTCTCAATCTCTCATCAGTCATCATACTCATTCGTTCTCTCAACTCTCAATATCTCATCCATCATCCCATTCTCCGTCCCACTATCGCCCTCACTCATCCTCGTCGGCTCATCATCTCCTCTAACCTCTCTCTCATGTCGTCGAGTGTCAGCTTGTCATCTCCTCTCTCTCACGCCGTCGGGTGTCGGCTCACCATCTCCTCTCTCTCACGTTGTCAAGCGTCGGCTCGTCATCTCATCTCTCTCTTCGTCACAAGATTCGTAGTTCTCCTTCCCACCATTGCAGTCGCAGATCGGTGAGTTAGGTTTCAAGATTTAGAATTTTTTATATTTTAATAACGTTATACCAATCCCTCTTCTAGGATTAAGGTATTCAAAGATTATTTTTTTTTTATTTTTTTATTTTTTGGTGTTTCTAATGAAGTATCTGTGGTGATTAGATGGATAAAGCAAGGGCCACAATTCTATTTCAGGAGGCAAACAAGGGAAGTAACAATGTTGGAGTTGTGGTGAGCACAATTCGTCTCTCTAGTCTTGGAGAATTTGGGACTCCTCAGTTTGTTGCTGAGAAGCTTATTCAAGCCAAAAAGCACAAGGTAAGTTTTTCTTTTATGTTAATTCTTTTTGGTAGGTGTTTCTACATACATAATTGATCATTTGTATGTGTTTATTCAAAAAAAAAAAAAAAAAAAATGTAGTCATTTGTTTTCTTGAAGATAAAATGCATTAATGTAAGTTTTGTTTATAGTGTCCTTATTATGTGCTTGCCATTTAGACTTTAGAGACTTGCTAACAATTCTCATTTCCTATATATAACTTTTATGCTGATGCCAATTGAAGAACTTGAATTTTTAACGGCTTGTGTGAAGCATTTGTTGATTTGGCTGACTGCTAATAGAACTGATAGAAACAATATGGGGTTATGATTCTCTCTGAGGTTTACATTGGAGTTTCCATTGGATCCTATTTTCTTGACAATTTTGGAGATCAAATCGAGGTTTGATGTTTACTTTATGTTGTCTTTCATTAATGTAAAACCTGTGTCAAAATCTAAGAGACACTAAACAATATAGTTTATTGGATACATAGAAGGAAAAGTGTTGAAATGAAAGTTCGATTAAGGTTTTGCTAAGAAATGAAGATGAGGGTTCACTACTGTTACCATTGTTAGAATGCTCACAAGGAAAAATATGATATAAGATGA